GTAGTCACAATCTCCTCAGAAGATAAATCACTACATTAATCTATCTCCTCAGGAGATAAATCACTACATTAATTTCTATCTCCTCAAGAGATAAATCACCAAATTAATTTCTATCTCCTCAAGAGATAAATCACCAAATTAATTTCTATCTTCTCAGGAGATGGATCACTACATTAATCTATCTCCTCAGGAGATGGATCACTACATTAATCTATCTCCTCAGGAGATATATAGATAATCTATCTCCTCAGGAGATGGATCGCTAAATTAATTTCTCCGCTCCATCTCCTGTAGGTGGTGGTACCGTACCTAGGAATCTCAATGGTCAGGATCACTCCGCTGCTGGATGGAGATCTCTCCCCACCCTGGTCTCTAAGTAGTCACAATCTCCTCAGGAGATAAATCACTACATTAATCTATCTCCTCAGGAGATAAATCACTGCATTAATTTCTATCTCCTCAAGAGATAAATCACCAAATTAATTTCTATCTCCTCAAGAGATAAATCACCAAATTAATTTCTATCTCCTCAGGAGATGGATCACTACATTAATCTATCTCCTCAGGAGATGGATCACTACATTAATCTATCTCCTCAGGAGATATATAGATAATCTATCTCCTCAGGAGATGGATCGCTAAATTAATTTCTCCGCTCCATCTCCTGTAGGGTGGTACCGTACCTAGGAATCTCAATGGTCAGGATCACTCCGCTGCTGGATGGAGATCTCTCCCCACCTGGTCTCTAAGTAGTCACAATCTCCTCAGGAGATAAATCACTACATTAATCTATCTCCTCAGGAGATAAATCACTACATTAATCTATCTCCTCCTGAGGAGATAAATCACTACATTAATCTAGCTCCTCAGGAGATAAATCACTACATTAATCTAGCTCCTCAGGAGATAAATCACTACATTAATCTATCTCCTCAGGAGATAAATCACTACATTAATCTATCTCCTCAGGAGATAAATCACTACATTAATCCATCTCCTCAGGAGAAGGATCGCTAAATTAATCTATCACCTCAGGAGATAAATCACTACATTAATCTAGCTCCTCAGGAGATAAATCACTACATTAATCTATCTCCTCAGGAGATAAATCACTACATTAATCTATCTCCTCAGGAGATAAATCACTACATTAATCTATCTCCTCAGGAGATAAATCACTACATTAATCCATCTCCTCAGGAGAAGGATCGCTAAATTAATCTATCACCTCAGGAGATAAATCACTACATTAATCTATCTCCTCAGGAGATAAATCACCAAATTAATCTATCTCCTCAGGAGATAAATCACTACATTAATCTATCTCCTCAGGAGATGGATATATAGATAATCTATCTCCTCAGAAGATGGATCGCTAAATTAATTTCTATCTCCTCAGGAGATGGATCGCTAAATTAATTTCACCGCTCCATCTCCTGTAGGGTGGTACCGTACCTAGGAATCTCAATGGTCAGGATCACTCCGCTGCTGGATGGAGATCTCTCCCCACCTGGTCTCTAAGTAGTCACAATCTCCTCAGGAGATAAATCACTACATTAATCTATCTCCTCAGGAGATAAATCACTGCATTAATTTCTATCTCCTCAAGAGATAAATCACCAAATTAATTTCTATCTCCTCAAGAGATAAATCACCAAATTAATTTCTATCTCCTCAGGAGATGGATCACTACATTAATCTATCTCCTCAGGAGATGGATCACTACATTAATCTATCTCCTCAGGAGATATATAGATAATCTATCTCCTCAGGAGATGGATCGCTAAATTAATTTCTCCGCTCCATCTCCTGTAGGGTGGTACCGTACCTAGGAATCTCAATGGTCAGGATCACTCCGCTGCTGGATGGAGATCTCTCCCCACCTGGTCTCTAAGTAGTCACAATCTCCTCAGGAGATAAATCACTACATTAATCTATCTCCTCAGGAGATAAATCACTACATTAATCTATCTCCTCCTGAGGAGATAAATCACTACATTAATCTATCTCCTCAGGAGATAAATCATTACATTAATCTATCTCCTCAGGAGATGGATCACTACATTAATCTATCTCCTCAGGAGATAAATCACTACATTAATCTATCTCCTCAGGAGATAGATCACTACATTAATCTATCTCCTCAGGAGATAAATCACTACATTAATCTATCTCCTCAGGAGATAAATCACTACATTAATCCATCTCCTCAGGAGAAGGATCGCTAAATTAATCTATCACCTCAGGAGATAAATCACTACATTAATCTATCTCCTCAGGAGATAAATCACTACATTAATCTATCTCCTCAGGAGATAAATCACTACATTAATCTATCTCCTCAGGAGATGGATATATAGATAATCTATCTCCTCAGAAGATGGATCGCTAAATTAATTTCTATCTCCTCAGGAGATGGATCGCTAAATTAATTTCACCGCTCCATCTCCTGTAGGGTGGTCCCGTACCTAGGAATCTCAATAGTCAGGATCACTCCGCTGCTGGATGGAGATCTCTCCCCACCCTGGTCTCTAAGTAGTCACAATCTCCTCAGGAGATAAATCACTACATTAATCTCTATCTCCTCAGGAGATAAATCACTACATTAATCTATCTCCTCAGGAGATAAATCACTACATTAATCTATCTCCTCAGGAGATAGATATATAGATAATCTATCTCAGGAGATAAATCACTACATTAATCTATCTCCTCAGGAGATAGATATATAGATAATCTATCTCCTCAGGAGATGGATCGCTAAATTAATTTATCCGCTCCATCTCCTCTAGTGGTGGTACCGTACCTAGGAATCTCACTGACCAGGATCACTCTGCTGCTGGATGGAGATCTCGTTCCTGGTCCCTAAGTAGTCACAATCTCCTCAGGAGATAAATCACTACATTAATCCATCTCCTCAGGAGATAAATCACTACATTAATCCATCTCCTCAGGAGATAAATCACTACATTAATCTATCTCCTCAGGAGATAAATCACTACATTAATCCATCTCCTCAGGAGATAAATCACTACATTAATCCATCTCCTCAGGAGATAAATCACTACATTAATCTATCTCCTCAGGAGATAAATCACTACATTAATCCATCTCCTCAGGAGATAAATCACTACATTAATCCATCTCCTCAGGAGATAAATCACTACATTAATCTATCTCCTCAGGAGATAGATCACTACATTAATCTATCTCCTCAGGAGATGGATCGCTAAATTAATTTCTCCGCTCCATCTCCTGTAGGTGGTGGTTCCGTACTTAGGAATCTCAATGGTCAGGATCACTCTGCTGCTGGATGGAGATCTCTCCCCACCCTGGTCTCTAAGTAGTCACAATCTCCTCAGAAGATAAATCACTACATTAATCTATCTCCTCAGGAGATAAATCACTACATTAATTTCTATCTCCTCAAGAGATAAATCACCAAATTAATTTCTATCTCCTCAAGAGATAAATCACCAAATTAATTTCTATCTTCTCAGGAGATGGATCACTACATTAATCTATCTCCTCAGGAGATGGATCACTACATTAATCTATCTCCTCAGGAGATATATAGATAATCTATCTCCTCAGGAGATGGATCGCTAAATTAATTTCTCCGCTCCATCTCCTGTAGGTGGTGGTACCGTACCTAGGAATCTCAATGGTCAGGATCACTCCGCTGCTGGATGGAGATCTCCCCACCCTGGTCACTAAGTAGTCACCATCTCCTCAGGAGATAAATCACTACATTAATCTATCTCCTCAGGAGATAAATCACTACATTAATCTATCTCCTCAGGAGATAAATCATTACATTAATCTATCTCCTCAGGAGATGGATCACTACATTAATCTATCTCCTCAGGAGATAAATCACTACATTAATCTATCTCCTCAGGAGATAAATCACTACATTAATCCATCTCCTCAGGAGAAGGATCGCTAAATTAATCTATCTCCTCAGGAGATAAATCACTACATTAATCTATCTCCTCAGGAGATAAATCACTACATTAATCAATCTCCTCAGGAGATAAATCACTACATTAATCCATCTCCTCAGGAGAAGGATCGCTAAATTAATCTATCTCCTCAGGAGATAAATCACTACATTAATCTATCTCCTCAGGAGATAAATCACTACATTAATCCATCTCCTCAGGAGAAGGATCGCTAAATTAATCTAGCTCCTCAGGAGATAAATCACTACATTAATCTATCTCCTCAGGAGATAAATCACTACATTAATCCATCTCCTCAGGAGAAGGATCGCTAAATTAATCTATCACCTCAGGAGATAAATCACTACATTAATCTATCTCCTCAGGAGATAAATCACTACATTAATCTATCTCCTCAGGAGATAAATCACTACATTAATCTATCTCCTCAGGATATGGATATATAGATAATCTATCTCCTCAGGAGATGGATCGCTAAATTAATTTCTATCTCCTCAGGAGATGGATCGCTAAATTAATTTCACCGCTCCATCTCCTGTAGGGTGGTACCGTACCTAGGAATCTCAATAGTCAGGATCACTCCGCTGCTGGATGGAGATCTCTCCCCACCCTGGTCTCTAAGTAGTCACAATCTCCTCAGGAGATAAATCACTACATTAATCTATCTCCTCAGGAGATAAATCACTACATTAATCTCTATCTCCTCAGGAGATAAATCACTACATTAATCTATCTCCTCAGGAGATAGATATATAGATAATCTATCTCCTCAGGAGATAAATCACTACATTAATCTATCTCCTCAGGAGATAAATCACTACATTAATCTATCTCCTCAGGAGATGGATCGCTAAATTAATCTATCTCCTCAGGAGATAAATCACTACATTAATCTATCTCCTCAGGAGATGATCGCTAAATTAATCTATCTCCTCAGGAGATAAATCACATTAATCTATCTCCTCAGGAGATGGATCGCTAAATTAATCTATCTCCTCAGGAGATAAATCACATTAATCTATCTCCTCAGGAGATGGATCGTCAAATTAATTTAGCGATCTATCTCCTCAGAGGAAGGATTATTATTACTTCATCATTGATTAATTTAGCGATCTATCTCCTCAGGAGATAGATATATAGATAATCTATCTCCTGAGGAGATAAATCGCTACATTATTTTCTATCTTCTCAGGAGATGGATCGCTAAATTAATTTCTCCGCTCCATCTCCGCTGGTGGTGGTACCGTGGCCGCCGATTGCCACAACGTTGAAGCGATGATGGATGAGCCGGCGGACTACGATAACGTCCAGCGGCAGGAACTTCACGTCCCGTCTCTGCAGGAGCTCAGAGAAGGTCGTTGTTTAACCTTCGTTAGACTCGATAACGTTGAAAGATTTAACTTTTTTTAAATTTAACTTTTTAAAAATATATATATATTTTTTCGCGAGACCGACGAGTAGGCCCCTTGGCCTTTGTGCGCGTTGCCGGGTGTCCTTGCTTGAGGGCGGCGGGGGAACGAGGAAAGTAGGGGGGGTGCGTAGCGAGGCGATGCGGCCTAGTTTTATATATTTTTTAAAAAACGTTATTTTATTACATTTTTAAAGTTACCAATTAACTTGAAACGGCGCTGTAAAGTCGTAGGTTCGTAAATAGCTCGCTATTTTTGGGTGTTATCGCTATTTTGTTGTTACATTTAAATTCTTAAAATCTCCTCACTGCCCGCATTGGGCCGAACTGTACAATAACCGCTTACATTGTTAAGGCATCTTTATCTGTGTAACTTTATAATATAAACTTATTACTTCATCATCATTGTTAGTGTAACTTTATACTATAAACGTATTATTACTTCATCATTGTTAGTGAAACTTTATAATATAAACTTATTATTACTACATCATTGTTAGTGTAACTTTATAATATAAACTTATTATTACATCATCATTGTTAGTGTCACTTTATAATATAAACTTATTATTACTTCATCATTGTTAGTGTAACTTTATAATATAAACTTATTATTACTTCATCACTGTTAGTGTAACTTTATAATATAAACTTATTATTACATCATCATTGTTAGTGTAACTTTATAATATAAACTTCTTATTACTTCATCATTGTTAGTCTAACTTTATACTATAAACTTATTATTACAGCATCATTGTTAGTGTAACTTTATACTATAAACTTATTACAACATCATCATTGTTACTGTAACTTTATAGTATAAACTTATTACTACATCATCATTGTTAGTGTAACTTTATAATATAAACTTATTATTACTTCATCATTGTTAGTGTAACTTTATACTATAAACTTATTATTACTTCATCATTGTTAGTGTAACTTTATAATATAAACTTATTACTTCATCATTGTTAGTGTAACTTTATAATATAAACTTATTATTACTTCATCATTGTTAGTGTAACTTTATAATATAAACTTATTACTACATCATCATTGTTATTGTAACTTTATAATATAAACTTATTACTACATCATCATTGTTATTGTAACTTTATAATATAAACGTATTATTACTTCATCATTGTTAGTCACTTTATAATATGAACTTATTATTACTTCATCATTGTTAGTGTAACTTTATAATATAAACTTATTATTACTTCATCATTGTTAGTGTAACTTTATACTATAAACTTATTATTACTTCATTATTGTTAGTGTGACTTTATAATATAAACTTATTATTACTTCATCATTGTTAGTGTAACATTATAATATAAACTTATTACTACATCATCATTGTTACTGTAACTTTATAATATTAACTTGTTATTACTTCATTTTTATCTGTGTAACTTTATAATATAAACTTATTACTTCATCATCATTGTTAGTGTAACTTTATAATATAAACTTATTATTACTTCATCATTGTTATTGTAACATTATAATATAAACTTATTACTACATCATCATTGTTAGTGTCACTTTATAATATAAACTTATTACTACATCATCATTGTTAGTGTAACTTTATAATATAAACTTATTACTACATCATCATTGTTATTGTAACTTTATAATATAAACTTATTATTACTTCATCATTGTTAGTGAAACTTTATAATATAAACTTATTATTACTTCATCATTGTTAGTGTCACTTTATCATATAAACTTATTATTACTTCATCATTGTTAGTGTAACTTTATAATATAAACGTATTATTACTTCATCATTGTTAGTGTCACTTTATAATATAAACTTATTATTACTACATCATTGTTATTGTAACTTTATAATATAAACTTATTATTACTTCATCATTGTTAGTGTAACATTATAATATAAACTTATTACTACATCATCATTGTTACTGTAACTTTATAATATTAACTTGTTATTACTTCATCTTTATCTGTGTAACTTTATAATATAAACTTATTACTTCATCATCATTGTTAGTGTAACTTTATAATATAAACTTATTATTACTTCATCATTGTTATTGTAACATTATAATATAAACTTATTACTACATCATCATTGTTAGTGTCACTTTATAATATAAACTTATTACTACATCATCATTGTTAGCGTAACTTTATAATATAAACTTATTACTACATCATCATTGTTATTGTAACTTTATAATATAAACTTATTATTACTTCATCATTGTTAGTGTAACTTTATAATATAAACTTATTATTACTTCATCATTGTTAGTGAAACTTTATAATATAAACTTATTATTACTTCATCATTGTTAGTGTCACTTTATCATATAAACTTATTATTACTTCATCATTGTTAGTGTAACTTTATAATATAAACGTATTATTACTTCATCATTGTTAGTGTCACTTTATAATATAAACTTATTATTACTACATCATTGTTATTGTAACTTTATAATATAAACGTATTATTACTTCATCATTGTTAGTGTAACTTTATACTATAAACTTATTATTACTTCATCATTATTAGTGTAACTTTATAATATAAACTTATTACTTCATTATTAGTCTAACTTTATAATATAAACTTATTACTGCATCATCATTGTTAGTGTAACTTTATAATATAAACTTATTATTACATCATCATTGTTAGTGTAACTTTATACTATAAACTTATTATTACATCATCATTGTTAGTGTCACTTTATAATATAAACTTATTATTACTTCATCATTGTTACTGTAACTTTATAATATAAACTTATTACTACATCATCATTGTTAGTGTAACTTTATACTATAAACTTATTATTACTTCATCATTGTTAGTGTAACTTTATAATATAAACTTATTATTACTTCATCATTGTTAGTGTCACTTTATACTATAATCTTATTACTTCATCATTGTTAGTGTTACTTTATAATATAAACTTATTATTACTTCATCATTGTTAGTGTAACTTTATAATATAAACGTATTATTACTTCATCATTGTTAGTGTAACTTTATAATATAAACTTATTATTACTTCATCATCATTGTTAGTGTAACTTTATAATATAAACTTATTATTGCTTCATCATTGTTAGTGTAACTTTATAATATAAACTTATTACTACATCATCATTGTTAGTGTCACTTTATACTATAAACTTATTATTACAACACCACAACCACAACCAATACAACCACCACCACTACCACAACCACTACAACCAACACCACCACAACCACCACCACAACCACCAACACCACCACAACCACCACCACAACCACCACTACCACAACCACTACAACCAGCACCACCACAACCACCAACACCACCACAACCACCACCACAACCACCACCAACACCACCACAACCACCAACACCACAACCACCACCAACACCACCACAACCTCCACCACAACCACCAACACCACCACCACAACCACCACAACCACCACCCGAACCACCAACACCACCACAACCATAACCACCACAACCACCACAACCACCAACACCACCACAACCACCACCACAACCACCAACACCACCACAACCACCACCAACACTACCACAACCACTACAACCAACACCACCACAACCACCAACACCACCACGACCACCACCACAACCACCAACACCACAACCACCACAACCACCACCACAACCACCAACACCACAACCACCACAACCACCACCACAACCACCAACACCACAACCACCACCACAACCACCAACACCACCACAACCACCACCACAACCACCACCACCACCACCACCACAACCACCACCACAACCACCACCAGTCCTGGCCCAGGGATTGAACCGTGACTTTTCGGAGGTGATGGTGTCCGTCGTTCCATGCCCAGACCTCACGCGTCCTCCGTTCAACTGCGCAGCCCCGGGTAAGGCAGATCACCGCTCACCACTCACCCGCTCACCCGCTCACCCGCTCACCACTCACCACTCACCCGCTCACCACTCACCACTCACCCGCTCACCACTCACCCGCTCACTCGCTCACCACTCACCCGCTCACCACTCACCCGCTCACCACTCAACCGCTCACCCACTCCCTCGCTCACCACTCACCACTCACCCGCTCACCACTCACCACTCACCACTCACCCGCTCACCGCTCACCCGCTCACCCGCTCACCACTCACCACTCACCCGCTCACCACTCACCCGCTCACCCGCTCACTACTCACCACTCACCCGCTCACCACTCACCCGCTCACCACTCACCACTCACCCGCTCACCACTCACCACTCACCCGCTCACCACTCACCCGCTCACCACTCACCCGCTCACCACTCACCTGCTCACCACTCAACCGCTCACCCACTCCCTCGCTCACCACTCACCACTCACCCGCTCACCACTCACCCGCTCACCCACTCACCACTCACCACTCACCCACTCACCACTCACCCACTCACCGCTCACCACTCACCCGCTCACCCGCTCACCACTCACCACTCACCCGCTCACCCACTCACCGCTCACCACTCACCACTCACCGCTCACCCGCTCACCGCTCACCACTCACCCGCTCACCACTCACCACTCACCCGCTCACCACTCACCCGCTCACCACTCACCACTCCCTCGCTCACCACTCACCCGCTCACCCGCTCACCCGCTCACCACTCACCCGCTCCCTCGCTCACCACTCACCACTCACCCGCTCACCACTCACCCGCTCCCTCGCTCACCACTCACCACTCACCCGCTCACCACTCACCCGCTCACCACTCAACCGCTCACCCACTCCCTCGCTCACCACTCACCACTCACCCGCTCATCCGCTCACCACTCACCACTCACCCGCTCATCCGCTCACCACTCACCACTCACCACTCACCCGCTCACTCGCTCACCACTCACCTTCACCACTCACCCGCTCAACACTCACCCGCTCACCCGCTCACCACTCACCCGCTCACCACTCACCTGCTCACCTGCTCACCACTCACCCGCTCACCACTCACCACTCACCCGCTCACCACTCACCCGCTCACCACTCACCACTCACCCGCTCACCACTCACCCGCTCACCACTCACCACTCACCCGCTCACCTTCACCGCTCACCACTCACTGCTCACCACGCACCGCTCACCACTCACTGCTCACCACCCACCGCTCACCACCCACCGCTCACCACCCACCGCTCACCACTCACCGCTCACCACTCACCGCTTATTTGTCTAGCTGAGTGGTGAGTGAGTGGGTGAGTGTCCTGGTGAGTGAGTGGGTGAGTGTACTGGTGAGTGTACTGGTGAGTGTCCTGGTGAGTGAGTGGGTGAGTGTACTGGTGAGTGTACTGGTGAGTGTCCTGGTGAGTGGGTGAGTGTACTGGTGAGTGGACTGGTGAGTGTACTGGTGAGTGAGTGGGTGAGTGAGTGAGTGTCCTGTTGAGTGAGTGGGTGAGTGTACTGGTGAGTGTACTGGTGAGTGAGTGTACTGGTGAGTGAGTGGGTGAGTGTACTGGTGAGTGTACTGGTGAGTTAGTGGGTGAGTGTATTGGTCAGTGTACTGGTGAGTGAGTGGGTGAGTGTACTGGTGAGTGCACTGGTGAGTGTACTGGTGAGTGAGTGGGTCAGTGTACTGGTGAGTGGACTGGTGAGTGTCCTGGTGAGTGGGTGAGTGTACTGGTGAGTGGACTGGTGAGTGTACTGGTGAGTGAGTGGGTGAGTGAGTGGGTGAGTGAGTGGGTGAGTGAGTGTCCTGTTGAGTGAGTGGGTGAGTGTACTGGTGAGTATACTGGTGAGTGAGTGGGTGAGTGTATTGGTGAGTGTACTGGTGAGTGAGTGGGTGAGTGTACTGGTGTGTGAGTGTCCTGTTGAGTGAGTGGGTGAGTGAGTGGGTGAGTGTAATGCTGAGTGAGAGGGTGAGTGTACTGGTGAGTGAGTGTACTGGTGAGTGTACTGGTGAGTGAGTGTACTGCTGAGTGTACTGGTGAGTGTACTGGTGAGTGAGTTGGTGAGTGTACTGGTGAGTGTACTGGTGAGTGAGTGGGTGAGTGTACTGGTGAGTGTACTGGTGAGTGTACTGGTGAGTGAGTGGGTGAGTGTACTGGTGAGTGTACTGGTGAGTGTACTGGTGAGTGTACTGGTGAGTGAGTGGGTGAGTGTACTGGTGAGTGTACTGGTGAGTGAGTGGGTGAGTGTACTGGTGAGTGAGTGGGTGAGTGTACTGGTGTGTGAGTGTCCTGTTGAGTGAGTGGGTGGGTGTACTGCTGAGTGAGTGGATGAGTGTACTGGTGAGTGAGTGGGTAAGTGTACTGGTGAGTGTACTGGTGAGTGAGTGTACTGGTGAGTGTACTGGTGAGTGTACTGGTGAGTGAGTGGGTGAGTGTACTGGTGAGTGTACTGGTGAGTGAGTGGGTGAGTGTACTGGTGAGTGAGTGGGTGAGTGTACTGGTGTGTGAGTGTCCTGTTGAGTGAGTGGGTGGGTGTACTGCTGAGTGAGTGGATGAGTGTACTGGTGAGTGAGTGTGTGAGTGAGTGGGTGAGTGAGTGGGTGAGTGTACTGGTGAGTGTACTGATGAGTGTACTGGTGAGTGAGTGGGTGAGTGTACTGGTGAGTGTACTGGTGAGTGTACTGGTGAGTGAGTGGGTGAGTGTACTGGTGACTATACTGGTGAGTGTACTGGTGAGTGAGTGGGTGAGTGAGTGGGTGAGTGAGTGTCCTGTTGAGTGAGTGGGTGAGTGTACTGGTGAGTATACTGGTGCGTGTACTGGTGAGTGAGTGTACTGGTGAGTGTACTGGTGAGTGAGTGTACTGGTGAGTGAGTGGGTGAGTGTACTGGTGATTGTACTGGTGAGTGTACTGGTGAGTGGGTGAGTGTTCTGGTGAGGGTGAGCAGGACTGTGTGGTGAGTGTACTGGTGAGTGAGTGGGTTAGTGTACTGGTGAGTGTACTGGTGAGTGAGTGTACTGGTGAGTGTACTGGTGAGTGAGTGGGTGAGTGTTCTGGTGAGGGTGAGCAGGACTGTGTGGTGAGTGTACTGGTGAGTGTACTGGTGAGTGTACTGGTGAGTGTACTGGTGAGTGAGTGGGTGAGTGTTCTGGTGAGGGTGAGCAGGACTGTGTGGTGAGTGTACTGGTGAGTGTACTGGTGAGTGTACTGGTGAGTGAGTGGGTGAGTGTACTGGTGAGTGTACTGGTGAGTGTACTGGTGAGTGAGTGGGTGAGTGTTCTGGTGAGGGTGAGCAGGACTGTGTGGTGAGTGTACTGGTGAGTGTACTGGTGAGTGTACTGGTGAGTGAGTGGGTGAGTGTACTGGTGAGTGTACTGGTGAGTGAGTGGGTGAGTGTTCTGGTGAGTGTACTGGTGAGTGAGTGGGTGAGTGTTCTGGTGAGGGTGAGCAGGACTGTGTGGTGAGCCCCGTATTGCTGATGTTGGAGGAATCCCCTACCTATTACCAGTTCCCTGGACACGGAAGGTGAGCGTCCATCCTCCTCACCACTCACCTGTACACTCACCACTCACCTGTACACTCACCACTCACCAGTACACTCACCACTCACGTGTACACTCACCTGTACACTCACCACTCACCTGTACACTCACCACTCACCAGTACACTCACCTCTCACGTGTACACTCACCACTCACGTGTACACTCACCACTCACGTGTACACTCACCTGTACACTCACCACTCACGTGTACACTCACCTGTACACTCACCACTCACGTGTACACTCACCAGTACACTCACCACTCACGTGTACACTCACCACTCACGTGCACACTCACCACTCACCAGTACACTCACCACTCACGTGTACACTCACCAGTACACTCACCACTCACCTGTACACTCACCACTCACCAGTACACTCACCTCTCACGTGTACACTCACCACTCACGTGTACACTCACCACTCACGTGTACACTCACCACTCACCTGTACACTCACCACTCACGTGTACACTCACCACTCACCTGTACACTCACCACTCACGTGTACACTCACCACTCACGTGTACACTCACCTGTACACTCACCACTCACGTGTACACTCACCACTCACCTGTACACTCACCACTCACCTGTACACTCACCACTCACCTGTACACTCACCACTCACCTGTACACTCACCACTCACCTGTACACTCACCACTCACCTGTACACTCACCACTCACCTGTACACTCACCACTCACCTGTACACTCACCACTCACCTGTACACTCACCACTCACGTGTACACTCACCACTCACCTGTACACTCACCACTCACGTGTACACTCACCACTCACCTGTACACTCACCACTCACCTGTACACTCACCACTCACCTGTACACTCACCACTCACGTGTACACTCACCTGTACACTCACCTCTCACGTGTACACTCACCACTCACCAGTACACTCACCACTCACGTGCACACTCACCTGTACACTCACCACTCACGTGCACACTCACGTGTACACTCACCACTCACGTGTACACTCACCACTCACCAGTACACTCACCTGTACACTCACCACTCACGTCTACACTCACCAGTACACTCACCACTCACGTGCACACTCACCACTCACCAGTACACTCACCACTCACTTGCACACTCACCAGTACACTCACCACTCACGTGTACACTCACCAGTACACTCACCACTCACGTGTACACTCACCACTCACGTGTACACTCACCTGTACACGCACATACTCACTCACGTGTACACTCACTCACACTCACTCACACACTCACTCACACACTCACTCACACTCACTCACACACTCACACACTCACTCACACACTCATACACTCACTCACACACTCACTCACTCACACACTCACTCACACGCTCACTCACACATTCACACTCACTCACACACTCAGACACTCACTCACTCACACACTCACTCACACACTCACTCACACATTCACACTCACTCACACACTCACACACACTCACACACTCACTCACACTCACTCACACACTCACATACTCACTCACACTCACTCACACACACACTCACTCACTCACACACTCACACACTCACTCACACACACTCACTCACACACACATATTCACACTCACTCATACACTCACACACACACTCAGACTCACTCACACACTCAGACTCACTCACACACTCTCACTCACACACTCACACACTCACTCACACTCACTCACACACTCACACTCACTCACTCACACACTCACACACTCACTCACTCTGTGTGTGGGTCTCTGTGGGTCTGTGTGTGTGTGGGTCTCTGTGGGTGTGTGTGTGTGGGGGTATGTGTGTGTCTGTATGTGTCTGTGTGTGTGTCTGTATGTGTCTGTGTGTGTGTCAGTGTGTGTGGGTCTGTGTGTGTGTGGGGGTCTGTATGTGTGTGTGGGTCTCTGTGGGTCTGTGTATGTGTGTGGGTCTCTGTGGGTCTGTGTGTGTGAGTCTCTGTGGGTCTGTGTGTGTGTGTGGGTCTCTGTGGGTCTGTGTGTGTGGGGGTCTGTGTGTGTCTGTGTCTGTGTGTGTGTCTGTTTGTGTCTCTGTGTGGGTATGTCTGTGTGTGCGTGTATCTGTGTATGTGTGTCTGTGTGTTTGTGTCTGGGCGAGCTTTGCCTGTGTGTGTGCATCATAGGTGGTGCTACTCGCCACTAGCAGCACTTGCCCCTACAGCCCTGCTAGAGGCTACCTGGGGGAGCTTTGCCTGTGTCTGTGTAGGTCTATGATCTGTGCCGGGTGGCTGAGGTCGTGGGTCTGCCCGGGGCGTTCCTCATCGGCGCCGGAGCCGCCAGTGCCGGAGTGGTGAGCACCAACGCAGAGGTGAGATCCTCACCACCAGATCCTCACCACCAGATCCTCACCACCAGATCCTCACCACCAGATCCTCACCGCCAGATCCTCACCACCAGATCCTCACCACCAGATCCTCACCACCAGATCCTCACCACCAGATCCTCACCACCAGATCCTCACCACCAGATCCTCACCGCCAGATCCTCACCACCAGATCCTCACCGCCAGATCCTCACCACCAGATCCTCACTGCCAGATCCTCACCACCAGATCCTCACCACCAGATCCTCACCACCAGATCCTCACCACCAGATCCTCACCACCAGATCCTCACCACCAGATCCTCACCACCAGATCCTCACCACCAGATCCTCACCACCGGCTCCTCACCACCAGATCCTCACCGCCAGATCCTCACCACCAGATCCTCACCACCAGATCCTCACCACCAGATCCTCACCACCGGCTCCTCCCCGCCAGATCCTCACCACCACCATCATCACCACCATCATCACCACCATCACCACCACCATCACCATTACCATCACCACCATCATCACCACCATCACCACCATCATCACCACCATCACCACCATCATCACCACCACCACCATCATCACCATCACCACCGCCATCACCACCACAATCACCACCATCACCACCACCATCATCACCACCACCATCACCACCATCATCACCACCATCACCACCATCACCACCATCACCACCACCATCACCACCATCATCACCACCACCATCATCATCACCACCATCATCACCACCACCACCATCATCATCATCACTACCATCACCACCACAATCACCACTACCATCACCACCATTACCATCACCACCGTCACCGTCACCACCCCCATCACCACCACCATCACCACCATCACCACCATCATCAACTTCACCACCACCATCACCACCATCACCACCACCATCACCACCATCACCACCATCATCACCACCATCACCACCATCATCATCACCACCACCATCACCACCATCACCACGATCACCACCATCACCACCACCATCATCACCACCATCACCACCATCATCACCACCATCACCACCACCACCATCACCACCATCATCACCACCATCACCACCACCATCACCACCATCATCACCACCATCATTACCACCATCATCACCACCACCACCATCATCACCACCATCACCACCACAATCACCACTACCATCACCACCATTACCATCACCACCGTCACCGTCACCACCACCATCACCACCACCACCATCACCACCATCATCAACTTCACCACCACCATCACCACCAACACCACCGTCATCACTACAATCACCACCATCACCACCATCACCACTACAATCACCACCATCACCACCATCACCACCACCATCATCACCACCATCACCACCATCACCACCATCATCACCACCATCGCTACCATCACCATCACCACCATCACCACAACCACCATCATCACCACCACCACCACCGTCATCACCACCACCACCACCATCATCACCAACATCACCACCACTATCATCATCACCACCACCATCATCATCATCACCACCATCACCACCACCACCGCAACCACCATCATCACCACTACAATCACCACCTCCAATCATCATGTCATCACCACAACCACAGATCATCACAACCACCACCACCACCACCACAACCACTGATCACCACCACCACAACCACCACCACCATCATCACCACCACCATCACCACAACCACACATCATCACAACCACCACCACAACCACTGGTCACCACCACCATCACCACCACCACCACCATCATCATCACCACCATCACCACCACCACCACCATCACCACCACCACCATCACCACCACCACCACCATCACCACCACTACCATCACCACCACCATCACCACCACCATCACCACCACCATCATCATCATCACCACCATCACCACCACCACCATCACCACCTGCACCATCACCACCACCACCATCACCACCACTACCATCACCACCACCATCACCACCACCACCACCACCATCACCACCATCACCACCATCACCACCACCATCACCACCACCATCACCACCACCACCATCACCACCATCACCACCACCATCACCACCATCACCACCACCATCACCACCATCACTACCACCATCACCACCACCATCACCACCACCATCACCACCACCACCATCACCACCACCATCACCACCACCACCATCACCATCACCACCACCACCATCACCACCACCACCACCATCACCACCATCACCACCACTACCATCACCACCACCACCACCATCACCACCACCATCATCATCATCACCACCATCACCACCACCACCACCATCACCACCACCACCATCACCACCATCACCACCACCACCACCATCACCACCACCACCACCACCATCACCACAACCACCACCACAACCACCATCACCACCACCACCATCACCACCACCATCACCACCATCACCACCACCACCATCACCACCACCACCACCACCATCACCACCACCACCACCATCACCACCACCACCACCATCACCACCACCATCACCACCACCACCATCACTACCACCATCATCATCATCATCACCACCACCATCACCACCACCACCATCACCACCAACACCACCACCATCACCACCACCACCACAACCACCACCACAATCACCACCACAACCACCATCACCACCACCACCATCACCACCACCACCATCATCACCACCATCACCACCATCACCACCACCACCACCATCACCACCATCACCACCACCACCATCACCACCATCACCACCACCATCACCACCACCACCACCACCACCATCACCACCACCCCACCATCACCACAACCACCACCCCAACCACCACCACCACCATCACCACCACCACCATCACCACCACCACCATCACCACCACCACCATCACCACCACCACCACCACCATCACCACCACCACCACCATCACCACAACCACCACCACAACCACCACCACAACCACCATCACCACCACCATCACCACCACCATCACCATCACCACCACCACCATCACCACCACCATCACCACCATCACCACCACCACTACCATCACCACCACCACCATCACCATCACCACCACCATCACCACCACCACCACCATCACCACCACAACCATCACCACCACCACCACCATCACCACCACCACCACCATCACCACCACCATCACCACCACCACCACCATCACCACCATCACCACCACTACCATCACCACCACCACCACCATCACCACCACCATCATCATCATCACCACCACCACCACCACCATCACCACCACCACCATCACCACCATCACCACCATCACCACCACCATCACCACCACCACCACCATCACCACAACCACCACCACAACCACCATCACCACCACCACCATCACCACCATCACCACCACCATCACCACCACCACCATCACCACCACCACCACCATCACCACCACCATCACCATCACCACCATCACCACCACCACCACCATCACCACCACCATCACCACCACCTCCATCACTACCACCATCATCATCATC